TGGGGGGGGGGGAAGCGGAGATGAGAGCACGACTTAAGAAATTATGGGTTTTTTTGTTTGTTTGTTTTTTTGTTTTTGTTTTTTTTTTCATTCCTGTGCAGCCAAGAGGCTTTTTCCCCACACGAAACCACTGGGCTTGTTTGGGGTGGAGGTTGGTTGTCTTTAATGCTGATAGGCTGCGAATAAAAGGTGCAAGTGTAGTCCAAAATAGACATGCAGAAAAAGCTCTTTCAGCTGAACTACGAGTACGTTTATTAAAAAAAAAAAAAAAGCTTCCAGTGACTTACATCTCTTGACACTCTTGGTGTCAAGGCACTTCACCTTATCAGTATTAAGGATGGAAATAATCAGGCGAGGTGACTTTTACCGGGCAAACTTTAAATGGCCTCGCGGCGTGACTGACGGAACAAGGGAGAAAGATTGTACTCCCTTCGCTGCCTCATCATTAAGAGCAGCTTCAATCACTCTGGGATGTGTCATGCTTTTATTACTTTTTATTATCGACACCCAAAAAGAAAAAATCTATTCTTCTGGCTACAAAACAGCTGTGGCAGCAGAATCCAGGGCTGGAAATGCTTTTGTATAGAAATGTGGATAATCTGAAAGGAAAGCCAATTTTCTGGCATTTCAAGGAATGCTCTAACCAATTGTACTTGAGGAAAATTGCAGATATGTTACTTTCTCATTTTATAGTGCAGATTATAATTGCAAGATGAAAGTGGCATGGGAACAAGGCGACATGCATGAAACTAAACTGAATGGATGAGGCAATTACAGTGCTAGAGCCACATAGAAAGGGAGAACTGCTATTGTTGGTGCTTATCCTCGTCATATTTAATATTTATTCAGCATCCATCCTGTTCTCTTTTGGAATCGTCTTTTATTAAATCTAGGAACAGATGTATATGGATTTGCTAGCTCAGACATTGTGGAACAACGCTTTTCTGTACATTGTTTTGTCCTCAGTAGTTAAAGTTTTCAAAGCAGTGCAGCTCTGCTGGTTCGTCATGAGGCTATGCCCTGCTCTAAAACATCCCATTGTTCAGCAGGCTTTCTTAAATTCCCTCCTTCCCAATCTGCACTTTGTTATTCTTGATTTTATCTTCCTGTACTTCATAAATTCTCCATCATGAATGTACACGCACTTCAAATGTTTACAGATGTCCTAAATCATTGTGTAATCCCGCACCCAACTTTCATTTCTCTTTATCTGAGCCACTTCCACTCTATTATGGTAATGGCAGCTCGAAATTGAATTTCTGAAGGAGTCGCACGGGACCTGTATTATGATTTGCCACTTCCAAGCATACGGAAATATCTCTACATATAGACCAAACCATGCATTTTACACGTGCTTAGTTAATGGCAGTGCTGGAACTAGCGAGTGGCTCAAGAAATATATGTATTTTGGTGTAATAAAGACAAAATTTGAGATCCTCACCCTTTTGTTTCTGGTGGTATCTTGGATCACGGCAATGGGAGCTGAGGTTCAGCCGGTGCCTTCCTCGTTCCTGTTGCAGCTGGAGGATGCCCTTTCCTCAAGCCTGCCTGTATCATCACTCACGTGATCATTCTTTAGTTCCTTTCCATAAAAATGGGCCTGCTTACTTTAAGCAATTTCAGGTGTGTTTCCGTGGTGGTTTCAGATAACCTAAATCCCATCTTCTCTCATCTCTCCCCTTATTCCCAGCTCTATGTTGCCGTCTTTTACCCTGCGCTGACATAAAGGCTTATGCTGCCTCTCACTTAAAAAACAGGGCTTTGCAAAAGAGGCTCATTTGGCCAGTGAAGTGCAGATAAAATAAACAGCGGAGTCAGTCTGCAGATCCAGCACCTCTGACAGAAGGGCAGGTGGTGTTGTCCTTCCTATCTGTGCTGCTGCTTCCAGGAACTTCAGATGACTTTCTGTTTGCAGGAGTTGTGATTTGTACTAATTACCTGCCTTGATACACACTCCGTCTTTCTTTCTCGTAAGAAATGATGCTGTCACTTACCCATTGATCTAGCAATATACTGAACTAGCTGTAATTAACAAACTGATGAAGATACATATGATGCTTAAACAATAACATAATAGCCTGCGCATATTCCGCACGCCCATGACAATGCAAATGTCATGCAGCCTAATTTTAGACACGACACAGTGAGTCTTCTGTTCATTAGCCTTTGTTTATTGTCTTACAACCAGCTTTAACAAGATGGATTTTAAAGAAACCAGAGCTCAGTATTTTGGTTTCTAAGCCATGAATTATAACCCCCCAGTTTAATAATGTATTGTATTTTTAACTGCTATAGCAGTAAAAATCCTTTATATTCCATTTTCCGATGTAAGGCAAATCTTCAGGGGATATGTCCATTGACCGTACAACATTTGGGGTCTCTAGCCAAGAGTTTACTCACTAGATTATTTTCAGCATGATTTGAGACACAGAAGAGAACTGCCTGGAGCTGGTGAGGGAGCAAGAGCGGAGGAAGGAAGCTCACACGAAATAAGATTAAATTTGCTTGTTTTTGCTTGGTGTAGTTTAGGTTTGCTCTTCTTGTTTTGTTTGGTTTTGTTTTGCTTTCCAATTAATTAGAATATATTAGGTTTGTCTGGAATATGGGTATGAAAATTAATAAGGCAGACTACCAACATCCTGGCACCTGGCACTTCACGCACTGCTCTAGTGCCAAATCCAAAGCCCTTGATAGCATTTTGTTGTGTTTTCATTGTTAGCCAAAATGATGAGTAAAACAAGAGGCTTTTATAACATGAACGACTTACTAATTCCAAAGGAACAATGGGATATTACATTTAAACATTTTTGTTTTTCTCAGGAAAGCGACACAATATTTTGGGAAAAAAAAAAACGCTTTGCTCCCTTTTCCCTTTCCAGTGCCTTCACGTTCTTGACTAGGATGGCAACATACCTTAAAAGCGAATACTATATCTTTACAGGTCTCCATTAAAGGAGGCAATGGATGTATGAGTGAGACTCATTTAGTGTTGATTTATCTTCCTGATGCACAATATCAGACTCCATTTCCATTGACTGAATAACCCTGGAGTCGTTACGAAGGCAGTAAGAACTGAGTTACTGGCCTTGGAAGTGATCACTGCTGGATTTTTGCCTCTGAAGCCTCCAAACAGGATGCTGTATTACTATCTGCAGTTCTCTTCCCCGAGGTAGCCCTGTCTGATCATTGGCCCAGCTATCAGTGTAACA